GGCTGGACATCTGTCCCAATGAGAAAACACAGTAGGTTCAGGTGGGAGCAGAACTCTCTCCCCAACAACATGACAGTTTGGTATCTGTGCGCTACAGTATCGAGGAGTATCTGATGCTCACAGGGACGCCCATGGGCTTAGGTACTCACTAGCAAGGAGCTGAGGCATGAAGCAGCGAAAGCAAATGAGAGACCAGAACGTAAAAGGAGAATCATGAACACTGCACTGAAACTGTACTAAGGAGGCCTGAGCATCTTGGGGAGACATATGATATGGCACAGAATTAACTTATGGCCTGGACTTCACATTTGACTTGGAGTCCTTTCAAAGTAAGAATAAACTTCATGGTTGAACTCATTTTTATGACCTATTTTCCACGTTGCACTTCATTCCCTCCATTAAAGAGCTGTTTCCTCTTTAATCCCCCTTTCCACTGGGATCTTCATGCTTTTTTTCTCCCCTTATCTTCTCCCCTTCAAGCTTCAAATGAAGAAGGATGACTTGTTTGCTTCCCTGCTCCCTTCTCTATTTCAGAAGAGTTTTTCCTTGCCTGCCCATCTTTGATCAGCCTTTCTGAAGTAACGCAGGACGTTCCTTTTCTGCAAGACTGTAATCGCTGAGCTCTAACTGACGCGTCCCCTACGGCCCTCAAGCTTTCCTCCCTATTCCTAGGTCTCAATGTATTTTTGGGTCACACCATATTTAACATACTTTTAATCCTGTTTTCTTTCCCAAATCTACCAGGTTGGTGCTACTCTAGCTGCATTTTTCCTTTATTTCGAGCCTCAATCGATTCTTCTGCCAGTGAGCAGTTGATCGACCACAGCTTTCTCTCTAGTCTGATTCTCTACTTGCAAGACCATAAAGTTGGCTATGTAACTCCGGAACTTCTCTGTTGGTGCACGGGCTGCTGCTTTTGTAACAGCAGCACAGAGATCTGGGAAGTGAAAATCCTCGGGAGCACCATCCCACACAGTGTTCCCCGTTACTGTTCCTGCCCCATCTTGGTGGTCGACACCGGACAACGCAGCACTTACTCCTCTGACTTTTCCTGAAATCCCAGCCACAAGTGTTTCACGGTGTTTTTCTTTGCCAAATTATGGTCTGTGTCAGGTACCAGAAGAGAACGTTCTCCAGGTGCTGGAGACGAGAGGTGGACGCTGAGACCCAGACACTCTGCAGAATCTGGCCAGAGAAACTGACCCCTCCATGGGGGAGGAATGGGGACCCCGCCAGTCACCCGTATCTTTGGGGGGCAGGCCTGGGAAGAAGGATGGGGAGTCGTGACTGAGGGGCACAACCAAGCAGAGGGGGCAGATGTGTCCTCTTCGATGATTACTCTGGGAATACTCTAGCCAGTCGTCCATCTTCATTTTTTCAAACTAATTAATGTCACTAGTTTGTAAATTGCTTTGTTTATTGTAAAAAGGAGCTATTGGGAACACTTTGGAGATACCCCCTTTTCTCTTTACCCATCAAGAATTTGATATCCATGAAAGTTACCTGAAAATTATCAGGCATATCAATCCGGACGCCTTCATTTATGCTTGTTCTCAGTTGTGTGATTTAAAACTTCCTCATAAATGTGCAGAAGCCGCTGCTGGAGGAGGCCTGTTTGTTTCTGAGAGTCCCTGGCCCTCATCCTTTTTCTGGCAAATCTCACTGGTTTTCCTTGCCGCCCTCACCCCCGCCCAGCTTCCCTCTCTTCCTCCTCCTGACACACACCATGCACGCCGGGCCTGTCGTGTACTGGCGACCCTACCTGGTGTCTGACTTGCCCACGGCTTCCTCAGTGATTACTTCATTCCGTAGCAGGAAGTTCGTCCTTTCCTCTATTTGTGCCCCACGCTATCTCGGGGGAGCGAGCCTCAGACACAGAGCACTTTCGCTGGAGAAGGCAACGCTTAGAAGCTTATGCAAATGCTCGAGTCGCCAGCCTCTCTAACACCCATGAAAACATTTCTAGACTCTCGCACGTCCACAGGCGTCACCTTTGTCCAGGCCCCCATCTCTCATTGGGATTACTGCGAAGGCGCCCAGCGGAGCTCCTGCTTCTGCTCGCATCCCCTACAGTCTCTTTTCAGCCAGCCCAGCAGCCAGAGAGACTTGTGGAAATGTTAAGTCAGACCTCGGCTCAAAGCTCCTGAGGCTCCCGTCAGAGTGAGGGGAGAGGCCAAAGGCCATCTGATCGGCTCCAAGGCCCCTCAGGATTCGGCGTCCCACTTCCCCTCTGACCTCATCTTCCACTGCTGCCCCCTCCACGCTCCACTCCAGCCGTCCTGGCCACCTCGCTGCTCTGCAAACCCCAGGCATTTTCCTGCTGCAGGGGCTTTGCACAGGCCCTTCCCTCCGCCAGGAATGCGCTTCCTGCAGATGTCTGCACGGCTCGCCCTGTGCCTCCTGCAGCACTGGCACCGAGGAAGTGCACAAGGGACGTTTACTGAATGAGTGAATAACCGGAGAGCAGGGATCCAAGCAACAAGATATCCCTGTTCACTTCTTATCAGATTAGCAGACGTGTTCAAGTCCAAAGGTGTCATATAAATGGGATATCAAAAATGCTTTCCACAAGCAATACATGTGTGCACAGAAATGTGTGTGTGTGTACACACTCGATGAAGTGAGACAAAAAGAGGTTTAAGTCTATACCTCCTGACATGGAGAGACAGGGTCGGGGACAAAGCAAGCTGTAGAGCGATGTGTATGACGCAACTCTGCTTTTATGAACCTAGACACACACGCTCCAATCCCTGACCGTGTGTTTGCGTGCACAGGAGTGGGGAGATCGTCGGGAGGGGCACCCCCACGTGTGCTGCCGTGTTTTACTGGAGTGGGACTGGAGTACAGTGAAGGGGCAGAAGACCAGCTCTTTGTACATCTTGTTAGATTCCAATGGTAAATACTTAAAAATAAATCAGACGTATCAAGGATTGGGGAAGATGTGAGGAAATAGGACTCACACTCTGAGGGTGAGAGTGGAAATTAGGGTAGGCACTTGGAGAGCTAAGTGGCAGGGCTCTTGCTGGTGCGAGAGGAAGTGCTCATGCTCTCTGAACCTCGTTCCTCGTCCTGGCGCCCCCCATCTCAAGTCCTGTGCACAGAGACACAGACCACCTAGGGCCGTGCGGTGCAGTGCTATTGGCAATTGAGAAAAACTGGAAACCACCTAAATGCACATCGTGGAGGCAATGAAGAGATAAGACGTGGTGCCCTTGTAGAATGGAATGCTATGCGGCAGCTAAAGGGAGGAACCGGTCCCACACAGCCACAGAGGATGGATGTCAGAACAATGCTGGGTACAAAAGCCACTCGCAGAGTGAGACAGCGGATGCTCTCTCTTTACACTTGTAAATGTGCAGGTGACCTGTGTCATGGAGAATGGGCAGTTGCTCCTAGGGGGCACCGGGGCACAGGGGATGGGATTAGGATGGGAGGTAGAGGGTGCAGTGGAAAGGGGCTAGGTGCTGGAGGGCATGATGCAGGGATCGCTCCACCTGCACACCTGACACCCTAGCTGGCTCAGCATGAGAGCCCCTCACTCGGGGGTACTGGCCTGGGGAAGAGCCAGCACTGACCCTGGCCCCATGCAATGATCCTGGTCCCCCCAAGCGACAAGCTTCTCAGCTGCTCACTCCTCACCTGCCAGTGAGAACATTAAAGCTGGCGGGGGGGCTTCTGCCGGACTCGGATGTTCTATGTTCTACTAGAGAATTTTAGTCACAAACGACTGTGCTGTCAATAAGTAGCTGGCCAAGGTGATTATTTATTAATTCAAGAATATTTGTTAAATGCCTACTACGTGTCAGGATTAATGCAAGGGAAGCTTTCCAAAACAGTGCCCATTTCCTGTTAACTGGCAGTGCGGCTTCTGTCTTCACCTGCAGCTGTTAAAACCCTGACCAGGGCTGGTGAAGTCATCACTCGCTTTTGCAGAGCTTGACTGTGTGTGTGTGTGTTGCGCGTGGTGAGTTGTGCAAGGTGTGTTGTGTGTGTGGTGTTGTGGTGTGTCTATGTGCTGTGGTGTGTGTGTGGTATGCTGTGTGTGATATGGCGTATGTGGTATGATGTGTGTGTGCTGTGGCGTGTCTATGTGATGTGGTGTATATGGTATGTTGTGTGTGTGTGGTATGTGTTGTGGTGTGCGTACTGTGTGTGTATGGAGGCTCATTCTCCACGATCCTACACAGAACTCACAGAAACGTGGCGGTTACTGCTGACACACAGATGCCATCCTGTTTTTCACTCGAGCTGGCACGCTCTCCCAGGCCCTTCTCTCTCTTCCCTCCACAGAACCAGACTCTGGTGCCACAGGCCACAGCAAAGCAGGACTTTAAGGATACAAGCTGTTAGTTCACAAACTCCATAAATAAAACCAGTAAAACGGCTGAGGCAGCTGGAAATTTGTCAAACAAACTGGTTTTCCTGGGGAGCACATCGGTGCCAACTGACGGCTAATGACTACGATTTGGAAGGAGGGGCTGTGAGGAGAGACCAGGGTTGGCTCGTCCAGCAGCGGAAGGTCATTGCTTCTTGCATTTTGCTGCAGCCTCGCAGCCAAAGACCCTACAATGCATGCCTGTGTTCAGCTCACCGGGATCTGTGTTAAATTAGTTCCTTTACTTTGTCTCCTAATGAGAGAGGGGCTTTTTATTTTTATTAAGCAAGCAGCTTAAATGAATACCTAATGTCCTATCTTTTAACACTGGGAATTGTTAAGCATCAGAGCCACATCAATAAAGACACTCACAAAATCTTCGGATGCTGAAACTCAGCAGTTCAATTACTCTCAACCTACCAGGCCCGAGAATGGCCTCGAAAGAGCAACTGTGATCCTGGTTGAGCTGTGCTCTGCAAGTTAAAGCGAGAGCCTTCGCCGTCTCGCCAGGCGGAGGTGAGGCCCCAGCATTTCCCCTCCGTGCCTCAGAGTGAACAGGAGAAGAAAGAGGTGGTCTGCAGGGACTGTGCATAAGATCAGAGCCATCAATGTCATGGTCACTTACCTGAGACCAGAACAAGTGCTGAGACTGACCATCGAACCAGAGTATCCTTTCACATGTCCATGGTAGTAACAGTGACCCTAAAAGGAGGAGAAAGTCGGTTCATTCATAATATCTTCTTGCCCACTCACAATAAACCAACTGCCTACAATTGCTTCACTTGTTTTTAGCTATAGAATTCCCTTTTGCATAAGATATTGAACAAGCAGTGTTAATATTTAATGCTAAGCCCAATGTGACCTGGCCAGGATCTGTGGCAGGAACATCTGACTTACTGAGAGATTATCAATAGAGTTTTCGAATGCACCCCGGTTCCATTCTTGTCTCCGACACCCGTCAGGAAAGCCCTGACGCAGGATGTTTTACAAAATCCAGCAGCAGAACAAATCACGTTGCCATCGCCATTCCACCCTCAGGTAAACTGTCTTTTGTAATGAGATGAGGAACTGGATGGGGTATTTAAGCACACTGTGAAATGTAATAAAATGAGGCCTAAATCTATGGCTTATGAAAACAGAAAAGCAGATGAGAGGAAGGGGGGCAAGGAGAGAGAGAGGGGACCTCACTGCACTGCCCAATTGAGGGCTAAAAGTCTCTCAGCAGAAAAGAAAAATAGGAGGGTCTTCTAAGACAGAAATCCTGTGTGACATGCTTGCAATACTCCATTTCCTTAATAATATCACTGCTTGCAAAAAGAAACCACAGCACGGACACTTCCTGAGTGGAGACAGATAGCTGTCGGCATCCAGGTTCATTTTATTGTTGAACAAAGGTTATGTTACATCCCCAATTAAGGGGCTGCCTGGCAAGAAATGCTAAGCACGCTCAGCACTCCTCACTCAGGTCCTCTGAGTGCCCGCTGCGTGTGGGCTCAGCAGCAAAGGGCTGCCTCTTCTAAGGAGCAAGAGAAAGAGAGCTGGGGTTCCAGCCCGTCCCGCTGCGCCTGCCTCAGCTCAAGCCTCCTTCACTCATGACAACAGTAGTTCTCTTTTTCCAGGGCAGGGCTTGTGTCCAGTTATTCTGCCCAACACAGAAAAAATTCCAAAGACCACCTCGACTTTGCTGAGAGAGAGGACCAGATGAGATTCAGTGGCTGAGGCAATCCCATAACACCATGAGAAAGGGCCAAGATTTTCTTTGTCACTTAATAGAGGAGAAAATTCCAGGACCACCTGCAAGGCAACTACAGGAGGGAGATCGGAGTGCTGCAGAACATTTGTTATTTTGACTTTTTCTTATTGATTCTAGAAGTTCCTTATATATTTAGGATATTAATACTTTGCCTGTTATTATGTGAGAAATGGCTTTTTAACAAATGATATCTTTTGTTGCATGGAGTTTCCAGTTCTTATAAAGTCAAATTTATCCATCTTCCCCTTTGTGCATTTTGTGTATTGCTTACGGTGGCTTCTTCAAGGTCATACATATGTCTTCCTTTGTTTTCTTCTATTTCTATAGTCTTACAATTTGCTCTTTATCTGGAATTTATTTTTATGGAGTTATGAGGTTGCAGTCTAACCTCCCCCCACAAACTAAGAGCCAGCTCTTCACCACCATTTTCTTCTTCTTTTTTTTTTTTGTCAGGAAGACCAGCCCTGAGCTGACATCTGATGCCAATCTTCCTCTTTTTTGCTGAGGAAGACTGGCCCTGGGCTAACATCCATGCCCATCTTCCTCCACTTTACATGGGACGCCGCCACAGCATGGCTTAACAAGCGGTGTGTCTGTGTGCGCCCAGGATCCGAACCGGCAAACCCTGGGCCGCTGCCGCGGAGCGCGTGCACTCAACCGCTGGCGCCACCGGGCCGGCCCCCACCGCCATTTTCTTACTGATTTGAGATGCTACGTAGCCATCCATCGAATACCCACATATGCGTGTGGCTCCACTTTCATATCCTCTGTGCTGTTCCACTGAGGTGAACCTCCATTTGTCCATTTCTGTGCCAACAGCACACTGTTTCAATTACTATTGTTCTATAGTACATTTTGATATCAGATAGAGTAAGTGCTCTTTTTTGATTAAGATTAAATTCACATACCATAAAATCCACATTTTAAAAGCATACAATTAGTGGGTTTTAGTATATTCACAGTGTTGTGCAGCCATCACCACTAATCTAATTCCAAAACATTTTCATCACTCCAAAAAGAAACCTCATATTCATTAGCAGTCACTTCCCACTACCCGCTCCTCCAGCCTCTGGCAACCACTAATCTACTTCCTGTTGTTATGGATTTGCTTATTCTATTCATTTCATTTCATCTAAGTGGAATCAAACAATATGTGGCCTTCTGTATCTGGCTTCTTTCACTTAGCATAATGCTTTCAAGGTTCATTCATGTTGTAGTAGGTATTAGTACTTCATTCCTTTTTATTGCTGAATAATGTTATACTATATGGATAGACCAAATTTTGTTTATCCATTCATCAGTTGATGGGTATTTGAGTTGTTTCCACTTTTTGGCTATTATGAATCATGCTGCCATGAACATTTGTGTACAAGTTTTTGCACGGCCATATGTTTTTGGTTACCTTAGGTATACTCTACAAGAAGGTATATGGTTATACCCACAAGGGGAATTGCCGGATCATATGGTAACTCTGTTTATATTTTGAAGTACTGCCAAACTGTTTTCCCAAGCAGCTGAACCAGCGTATGGCAGGAATGTACGAGGCTGCCAACTTCTCCACATCCTCACCAACACATCCTTTTGTCTATCCTTTTGATTGTACCCATCCTAGTGTATGTGAATCAAAACCACAACTCGTGGTTTTGATTTTCATTTTCCTTATGACTAATGATGTTGAGCATCTTTTCACAGGCTTATTAGCCATTTGTATATCTTCTTTGGAGAAATATCTATTCAAATCCTTTGCTTATCTTTTAACTGGGTTATTGTCTTTTTATTGTTGAGTTGGAAGAATTCTTTACATATTCTGGATACTAGACCCTTAGCAGATGTATTATTTGCAAATATTTTCTCCCATTTTGTGGGCTGTCTTTTTACTTTCTTGATCATATCTTTTGAAGCACAAAAGTTGATCATTTGGATTCAGTTCAAGCCAACTATTTTTTTCTCTGATTGCCTATGCTTTAGACGCCATATCTAAGAAATCATTACCTAACCTAAAGTGAGGAAGATTTATACCTACATTTTAAGAGCTTTACAGGTTTAGCTTTTAGATTTTTGATGCGTTCTGAATTAATTTTTGTATATGGCTTGAAGTCGGATTCCAATTTCATTCTTCTGCATATGGATATTCACTTGTCCCAGAACCATTTGTTAAGACTATTCTTTCCCCAATTTGTCTTGGCAATCTTGTCAAGAGCAAGTTTTCTTTTGATACTGTTCTTTTTTCAAAAGTTTCTAGGCTATTAATACCTGTTTTCTCTTGCAGATAATTTTAGAATCAAATTTTAAGCTCTGTAATAATCCGTCAAGATTTCTACTTGGACTACATTGAATGTATAGGTCAATTTAGTAAGAATTTGTATTTTTACAATAAAAAGTTTTCCTATTTACATATGTGGTATGTCTCTCCATTTAATAAGAGCATTTTTATGTCCTTCAGTTTAGTTTCAGATTTTTCTTTTCATATGGCTATTGGAAAGTCTCCATTAGGCTTGTGCCTAGGTATTATATAGGTTGTTGATATCATGAACAGGATCTTTTATCTATTACATCTTATACATGGTTATTTTTAATGTAAAGGAAAACTTTTGCTTTTTTTTTTTTTAAGTTGATCTTGTATCAGACTCTCTTGCTGGACTATCTTATCAGCTTAATAGTCTGTAGCATATCTTGGATTTTTTATGTTGTTGATTATATCAACTACAAACAATGAAAGTTTTGTGAGCTCCTTTTTGACACCCCCTCCGCTCCCCTCTCCCCCAAACAACGTTGAGGAGTGGGCCTGCTAGGTGTCCAGGGACAAAGGCAGGAGAGGGAACTGCCCACAGAGAGAGAGCACAGTCAAAGACAGTGGTCAATGGGGGAGGGGTGGCAGTTCAGGGCCTGGGTTCCTTCTGCTTGGGGGGGAAGATTCAGGTGCAGGAGCATGACACTCCTAGTGCCCTGTTCCTCCCCCTGGCAAGGCTATCCTCCTCAATGAGCACATGGCTTAGGAAAGTGTGCATGATGGAGAGTGTTGGGGGACACCTGCCCAGCCAGCCACATCAGGCATCCACCCAGGCCATGGGGACCTTCCTGCCAGCTTGCCTCTTTAGCTTCCATGTGAAATAATTTTGAAAGGCTCTATACAGTCCCCTCTCTAGAGATAACTCCAGCTTGGGTACTTAAGGGAGGTGTGATAACAATTCTCCAAACATGAGAGAATCATGTAACTGGATTGTAATGCCCCAGGGCATTAGAGGGGTCCCAGTCCCCTCTGCACAGGGTGGGGTGATTTCAGTCCTGGGCACCCCACAGGCATGTCAGAGCTGAGACGAGGCAGAAAGTGAAAGGATAGCAGCTGATAGTACAGTTTAGGCTGCCTGGGTAGTCAGAATCACTGGCTTTTGACTGTTGCACATCTTTGGGGGTCTCATACTTTACAGAACTTGCCTCATTTTAGAGAGATGTGAAATATAGGGCAGCTAAGTATTGGTTAAAAAATGAAAAACCAAATGGTGGCAATAATCTTAATTACTGACCTCTGAAATTTCAAACTCATTTATTCTCAGTCTCAATTTATTTTTTAATGCATTATTTATCAAATGTACTTTCAAATTAAATACCCAGAAATATAAGCTCAGTAAAGCATGAGCTGAGAACAAATTAGTATAAAATTAATTTCCAGTTCACCAACTTGGTTGAAGTATTGCTTATAGAAGAGGAAGGGGTAGGTTTTAGCTCTCCTTAAATAATCCACCTCTCTTCGTCCTTACCAGAGTCAACAACTTATTTCTTAGCTCTAAAACTACTTTTGATTTACCTTCATACAGCTGACTAACAAGCCCATTGCTCGCCCCTGAATAATCTAAGAAGTGATTAACTTCTGAGATTACTAAGCATAATTACTAGAACTCCAAATTCCAGATTCTCCAGGATAATTAGAATTTCACAAAGTTTTGTTTTT